TAGAAAAATATTCTAGATTTAAGATAATTTGTAAGAAAAAAGAAAATGGGCAAAAAAATACTTCTTAAAATATTTAATAAAATATACTTGAAGAAATTATATCTTTTTTTAAGATTTTTTTTCTCAAAATTATTCTCATTACAAGAAAATTTTCTAATTTTAAGAAAATTTCTTACATAAGAAATTTGTTTAAGAACTACGAACTGTGTTTTTCTCATATTTGCCATCTATTTTCTTATTTTAAGAAAATATTTCCTGTTAATAAAAACAATTCTTGTCTTCAAAAAATGCTACACTTCAAGAAAATTATTCTTGCCAAGTGTTCTTTGTTGATGCATTGTACAAAAAAATACTTTCTCATTTTAAGAAAACTTTTCTTGAATGAAATTAAAATTGTATGACTTTGGCCAGAACAACAGAGGGCGCTGTTGGGGGAGTGGCCAACTGAAATTTAAAAGTGTATTGTTTCAGCTGTCAGGCCTGAACATTCACTTATCATTTCCATCATTTTTATTCTGCCAGAGGTATGTACAAATTTTAGTTTTATTGTCATGTTTTAACTTAATTATCATAGATTAAGGATGGCTATTTGTATGAACTTTATTGTTGAAGATGTTTAAGGATTGAAAAGATTGAAAGTTGTGTAAGTTTCGGATCGGTGGTTGCAAATGTATGCATACTGTAATACATATTGAACATTGCACACATAACCCACTAAGCATGAGTGAGATAGCAATTCCTTTTCTTTTATAGAAAGTAACATATAAAGTGGCAGTCACTGATATGACAATTGATTTTTAGATGTTCTTATTCCTCCATTTAGAAGTGAATCTGAGTTTGGCGATTAGGCTCTGCCTGAGAAGCAAATCTAAGTTTGGAGAATAATGCTCAAAACTAGGTTTGAAGTTCACCAATAAAAATGTATATTGGCCTAGTTATGACAGTGACAAAATTTTTAAATAAAGTTGTAATGTAAGGTGAAAATACTATTATTGAAATGAGCAAACTATACAGGGTGATTAAAAAAGGTAAGCCTGAAACAAAGGACTTTTATTTGTTAAATATTAACACAATGTCTTCATGGCATCCATTGCTGCTATGATGAATGGATACCTTTGCCTTGAAGTTGTTTTCTTGTAGTAGGAAAACAATTCTCATTAATTTGTACTAAGATTTATGATGTCTTTTCTTTTGGAATCCAAGAAAACCTCAGCAAAAACAAAAAAAAACACCCAAGATTACAATTCCAGCTAGGAGTTAATTGTCTTGATTCAAGAAAAGGAAAAAAGTTTTCTTGTGTCATTCCTAATCCTAGAAAATGGTAACAAGAAATTTGTCCTTGCAGGTTTTCTTAAAATAAGAAACATAACTGAGAAAAGTTGATTTCAGGTGGATTGAGCAATATAAATTTTCTTGCAGTTTTTCTTAAAATAAGAAACATACTGAGAAAACTTTAGAAAAAAATATTCTTAATTTGACAAAAGTTGAGAAAGAAACAAGAAAAAAAACTAGATTTTTTTCGCAATATGAAGGGGTTATATTCTTGTTTCAAGAAAAGGAAAGAGGTTTTCTTGTGTCACTCCCTAGAAAATTGGAACAAGAAAAATTTTCTTGCAGTTTTTCTTAAAATAAGAAACATAACTGAGAAAAGTTTAGAAAAAAATATTCTTAATTTGACAAAAGTTGAGTAAGAAACAAGAAAAAAAAACTAGATTTTTTTTTGCAATATGAAGGGGTTATATTCTTGATTCAAGAAAAGGAAAGAGGTTTTCTTGTGTCACTCCCTAGAAAATTGTAACAAGAAAAATTTTCTTGCAGTTTTTCTTAAAATAAGAAACATAACTGAGAAAAGTTTAGAATTTTTTTTCTTATTTTGACAAAAGTTAAGAAAATTATTTATCCTAAATCAAGAACACTAGAAAAAAAATCTAATAACAAGTTTCTTAAAACAAGAATTGGCCTTTTAGAAATATTTTCTTGTGTCACTCCCTAGAAAAAAAAACTTGTTTTAAGTTTTTTTTTCTCAAAATAAGAAATATATTTTTGGCAGTGTAACTTATGCTACATTTTTTTGTCCACCTATCTTTGGAATAAGTTAAAACATTTAAGATACCAATAATCAATTACGAAAACTCTTTTGGCATAGTATTTGAACCATTCTCTCTGACTTAAAAACCAAAACTCACAATACCACTTACGGTTTGCATGTTAAAACAAGGTGCCAAAATGATTACCCCAAATCCATGATTTAAGCACCAATTTTGTTTTTGTTTTACCAAAAAGGGTATTTTTGGGCAAAAAACCTACCCTGTACTACATTCCATCCCACTGACATACCACTCAAATGAAAGATCTTGTTGTTCCCTTTAATTTGATACCACATTTGTTGTTGTGATGCTTGTCGTTCTGAAGATATTATCAATTTATATGTTTTTCAAGTGTAAGAATTTAAGATACTGATAATCAATTACAAAAAATAATAATCAATTGCAAAAACTCTTTTGGCATAGAATTTGAACCTTTTTCTCTGACTTCAAAACAAAATCTCACAATAACACATACGGTTTGCATGTTAAACAAGGTGCCAAACAAAAATACCTGAATTTAGCCAAAAATCAGGGTTTTTTGACCAAAAAAGTACTTTTTGGCCCCAAAAACCACCCTTTACTACATTCCACACCCCTGACATACCACTCAAATGAAAGATCTTGTTGTTCCCTTTCATTTGATGTGACTTTTGTTGTTGTGATGGTTGTAGTTCAGAAGATATTATCATTTATATATATTTCATGTAATAATTAGCTGATGATGTCATAATGACGTCATACATGCCCTTCCCATCATCCAATTTTTTGCGTCCGTCTTTTTTTTGATAAGGTAAACCGTGGAGATGCTTTGGTGAAAAAATGGTGCTTTTGTCCACCGTGTCACGATCCTTGGCATTTTTGTCACTAAGGTACCTCACTATATTCTGTATCTAAAAACAGCTTTTTTGTGTTATTCCTGTATTATGCATGCGCAAACGACTTTCGAGGTCCACTTTTGCGACCCCAACAAGTCCAGCTGTTTGGGTGCTAGTTGTGATTATATCCGTAAAGTGTTCGCCGTTTGCGGACGTGGAAAAACCACATTTTGTGCATTGGTGATTGGTCACAGCTATTCGTGTATCAAACATTGACGGAAAATGACAGGAAAAACTCAGGGTTTTTGGTCTTAACAGGAACAAGACGACATTAGGTTGGTTTCCTTTCAACCAAATGTTTGAAATAGGATAAGTTAACAATCCAAAACATGAAATTTTGGGGATTTCAGGACTTAGTGCCCCTTTAATTTTCCTTGAATATGAGAGAAAGGAAAGATTTTTTAAAAATAATTTCGTGATTGTTTGCCACAACCACAAGTGTTATTTCATTTTGATAAAAATGCAGGCAGACAACAGAAAGTGAGGGCTGCAGCCTTCCTTTCTATTGTCTTAATACATTTTTGTCAAACTGGATATGCCACAGCAGATCAATAGATGGCTATTAAAAACACACATAAACGTATACACAGGGCTTATGATTTTCTGTAATAGCAGAACATGTCCGCCTTGTCCCCCATGCATGAATACAATTTAGAGCCGTGCAATTTGTAATAGTTTAGTATTTGACTATTCTAGCTTGGACTTGATTCAAATGTTCGAAAAATTGAAATGTGCTGATCAAGTCTAACATGCGCCACTAAAACTAACAGTATGCCACTAACAATATACCATTACAACAAAATTCCTTGTAGATTCCCTAAATGAAGTTTGGATAAAATAACCAACGCATCAATGGCCAGTTGGCAAGAAATTTATTGGCAGTACCCTCTGCAGTTTCCCTTTCTTTGTCACCGTTCCAGCATCGTTCTGCTGCTGAGAGGTAGCCTGCCTATGGTGGTACGAACAATTTACAGAACAAAGAAGTACCCCCGGTACAACAATGAAATGTTCCAGCCTGGATGACCGGCTGAACCTATGCCCTGTTCCGACGTGGGCGAATGGGCCTTCTGTTAGTTTAAGTGCTTCCCGTGCAAGAACAGCAAGGAAGGGAGGCACGAGGGGGAACGGCAAAAGTCTTTATGATGCCTCGCTTTATTATATGGACCCAGCTTCTGCCACTGCATAGCCATTAGCTGACAAATTAACAAACGCTATTAAGACTAGATGTCTATGTGAGTTTATGCGGTTTTTGCAGATGTGCGGTCATAAAAATGACCATTTTGTGTACAAAGTGCATTTAATGTAAAATTTTTCTAGTACAGCCAAAAAATATAAAAGTTGAAACATTTAATTTATTAAAAATCACTTGATAATTTCATCTTGACGTCATTTTGAATTTCCCCATTATCTACATGTACCTTTCCACCAAGTTTCATGACGATCGAACCTACCCTTATATGTGTTTTTGATGACATAGCGATGACGTCACACATTTTAAATCTTTAAAGAATGACCATGTTATTGATCTCTGGATGACCTTTGACTTCCAATTTCAGAAGAGTTGTGATTAACCCCACCCAAGGATCACTCCATCTAAGTTACATTAACCCTAAAGGGGCCGGGGGGGGGGGGGGGAATTGCCTCCCCCCCCCAACCTTTTCCACGATAGCCTTGATAACAATTTTTAATACCAAAAACTAAAATTTGGACCGTGGGTTGCCACGCACCATTTACCCTAAGTGTCTCCCAAAACTTTGTTTAGGTGACACAAAATGTGTTTTTATAGTAAGGCAAAGGGTCTGATCTTAAACAACATGTTTGTGGACCCCATTGTGTTCTTACCGTTATAGCCATTGTCTGTTGACATACATACATGTACATATGGAGACTTTTTTTCATCGCTTTTGAAAATCCTGCTAAAGTTCACTTGTCCTATACTATTCTTACTGCGTGTGATCTCCACAATATTGGATATAATTTCAAAGCGAAAACTCATTTGAGCAAGCTAAGGAATTTAAAAGCTATGGAAACAACTCACGTAAGTGGCGCAGCAGAGATTTGCCTCGGAGTCAAAGGAGAGAAAGCACATGTTGTCTGGAATTCCCTTCTTAGCCATCACTCTCTCTAGCAGGAGATTGGATCCTTTAAATCACAGAAAAAGAGACACACTCAATGATGAGTTTAAATATTGTACTTTGTGTGCTTTGGTGTGTAATTTTTCCCTTAATTTTCTACATAATTTAATGTACTTATTTGTAATTTATTTTCAGTTTCACCTGCCAATTTTATGGGCTGAGTAATAAAATGAAGGGGAAATCATCCTAGTGTCACCTCGTCAATTTTTCTGTGTCACGCTTACACACAGTGACAAGCACAGAGCAACAGTGCTTAATAATACTAATACAATATTTAAAAAAACACACCATAACTTCAAACAAACTCTTCCTGATTATCACTGCTACAAAATGCAAAAGCTGTATGTGTGTATGTGTTCATGAGTTGACCAGCCGCAGCACAGGCAAATTTGCCCATGTAGCAGGCTTTTGGGCGACAGGACCAGGCAAGCAGGCAACAAGAGGCGAAGCCTTGTCAACACAATTCATTCAAACAGGGTAATGAAAGGTGACTAATACACAATCTTTATGAAGCTGGGAACTTACCTTCAGATATGAATCCCTTCATTGAATTTAGACCGTAAGTCTGAGCTGTCCTCTGCACTTGCTGTGGATAATATAAAAGAGAAAGACAAGTTGATGCAAATTGTCCATTTTAAATAGCTGGAAATCCACTTAAAAAAATGATGCCTTCAACCACCCTCACCCTCCCCCCCCCCCTCCTCCTCCTCAAAAAAAAAAAAATTCCAATCAAGAACAAGTGGTAACAACAATTAACCCTGCTTTCATGGTTAGCACAAAATAGTAGTATGGTAATGGTACAAAGATGTTTCCACAATGTAACAGTAACAAAATGACTCCAGTAAGTACAATCAATGTCAAATGAGAAACAGTTTGTTTTTGGAGTTCATGTTTAAAACGACTGAGCTAGAACAGTCAAAATAGCTATTGATGACTGAGGGTATAAATGTTGACACAAATTCTTCATTGAGCAGTCATGCAGTTGGTTGTCACACAAAATAACAGTCTAGGCATATTTTTTTAAGAAAAGGGCTCATTTAGGGCAAGAAGAGGCATTTTTTATTAAAAGTTGTTAACCTAACTATTTTACCTAATTTGATAATAAGAGGTGTCCGTAAATTGGGCTTACAAATTAGGCGAAGCGTTGCCTAATGTGGAGAACTTGAACAACTTCAAAAAATTCCCAAAATAAAAGACTAGTGTTGCCAACAATAATTATGTTGACATAATTATTGTTGGCAACACTAGTCTTTTATTTGTGTCATCATTACTTGTCCATGCACGAGTTCACTGTGGGTTCTGAGTCTGTACCAAGTTTCATTAAAATTGAAGTATGTTGAAGGTCAAAAGTGGCACCAATAATGAAACACGTACAAAGTCTATGGGATTTGTGGAAACAAAAAGAAGTTAAACTAGAGCTATGCCTGTTCGATGAATAGGACATAGGCTTTTCCGCATTTTTAATAAGGCCAAAAAAAAAAGTCGGTCTCTGGTCAGACCGAAGTTCCGGAATCAATGCAGCAACGCGTTGTGTGTGTTTTTTTTGGGTGGCTTTTTTTTTTTCAATCTTGAATTGTACAGACAAGGTGGGTACTATTTTGCATCCTCTTTATACACTGGTGTCCTCCATAATTTGCCTTGGTACCCTTTATCATTTGCCTTGGTGCAATTTCCCCATTCCTTGGTGCTCCATGGTACAAAAATTTGAGGTGCGGCAATAGACGTTGCTGTTGTAGCTTCCGTGTTAATTTGAAGAAAAAAAAAGGTTGACGCACATGATTAAAATCGACGCGCGCGCTGACCAGAGACCGAGTATTTGGGGGGGGGGGGGGCCTCATGTCAATTTTTTGTATTTAGAAGAAAATGTTAACAGTTTATAAATTAATAAAAAAGTAAGTTGATGACGTCATCATCACATCACTTCAGATTTTGCATACTATAAAAAGTATTTACCTACCCACCAAGTTTCAAGACAAGCCAAATTACCCTATTGTGTGTTTAAAAAAATCACATTGTTGATCAATGATGACGTCATCGTGACGTCACATTTTTTTCAAAAATTTTGTTCATATGTATTACCTAACAAACCTAATACAAAATGAATTTTCAATTTAGCATTTTGGGTTCGAGAGATATGGTGATAATCTTCAAAACTTCAAAAATTGATACATAAAATTACACGATGACGTTATAATCAAACTATACCACCAAGTTTCAACCCAATGGGACTTACCGTTCATGAGATATATCAAATTAATAAATACCTTGGAGAGTTGATGGTTTCTGATTGGTCGAGACTCGATCACGTGGGGGTGTATTAACAGTGATATAAAGACCGGCTTCAAAGAACAAGCGAAAAAAATGGCCCCTGAACCAGCACTGATCCAGCCCCATGCAAGGCAATGATTGGCTAAATTTACAACAGTCATACGGCAGCTTGTAACAATACAGCACTGCACATGCGCTCAACCACCTTCGCGTGGGACTGACGCCCGCGTACGCAACACAGTTGCTATGGGTGCGCGCGCGTAAGGAAGTTTTAAAACGACATCGTACAGCAGTGCAGTGCAGTATACTGAGGATGTTTACGACAAAAGCGTAGCTCTACGATTTATTTTCTTTAGACACTTCGCCCATCGACATATTTACCTTTCCTAAACAGAGCATCTTTGGAATTCTGGACACAAGGAATGTGTAAACGAAATTTCTGCTTCCTCCATCAGGTAAAAATATGAAAACATTGTTGTAATTTCTTTCGCTACACCAGCAGAAGTCCAAACCCTGGACGTCGTACACGTATGCAATGAAGACAACGCTTATTGAAGAGACAGGGTACCACACATAGGTTAGATATGGCCCATGAACATGAACATAAAAGAGTCTGGAAATATTGCCAAAAGGAAGTCACAAAACTGCGTCTCAGTCCATTAACAGCAGTCATGACATCATTCTTTGGGACACAAGCTCACTATTGGGTCTTTACATAGGGTAAGATCATCAGAATATGAGTTTGTTTTAGGTAAAAAGTTAAGTGGTCAATAAAACCTGTACAAAGTCTATGGTATTTAGGTTAGAACAAGAGGAAAAAGTATGGGAAAAAAAAGGAAAGAAAAACTACAGCTATGCCTGTTCGATGAACAGGACACAGGCTTTTCTGCATTTTTAAAATAATACGCGTAAAGAAATACTTAAAAAAAATACTTTGTCAAATTTTGTATTAGAAGAAAATGAAAAAAAGTTGATAAATTAATTTTTTTAAAAGGTGATGACTTCATCATGACGTCACTTTACATTTGCATACTATTAACACTATCTACCTACCCACCAAGTTTCAAGACAATCAGACTTACCCATTTAAGTGTTTCAAAAGATTGCATTTTTGATGGCGTCATCATGACATCACACATTTTTCAAAAATTGTGCAGATACCTATTACATAACAAACCTAATACAAAAAGAATTTTGAATTTAGTATGTTTGAAGCCAATCGGATGAATAAAAGTGTTAAATTTTGTAAGCAGAATAAAATTGTAAATTTAAAAAATCATTAAAAATCCACTGATGATGTCATCCTGATGTTGTTTCAAATTTTGTGTACTAGTACTCTTATCTACCCACCCAACAAGTTTCATGGTGATTGGACGTTCCCTTATATGTGTTTAAAAAAAAAACAACGCATTTTTGATGACATCATAATGATGTCACACAATTTTCACAATTTTGTGAATATACCTGTTAACTTAAAAACATAATACAAAAAGAATTTTGAATTTAGCACATTGTGTTCGTGAGATATGGCTTAAAGGTCCAAAAATCGATATAAAATCACATGATGACGTCATGATGACATCACCTCAATTTTTACCTATAACACATCCCGGTAAACCTACATAGCAAGTTTCAACCCAATCGAACTTACAGTTCTTTAGATTTAGGGTCTTAAAAGTTTGCATGTTTAAGATGATGTCATGTGACCCATGATGACGTAATCGTGACATCAAGCTCACTATGGGGTTGTTATATTTGTAAGTTTTGGCAAAATACGAGTTTGTTTTAGGTCAAAAGTGGCGTGGTTAATAAACTGTGTACGAAGTTTATGGGATTTGGGTTGGAACAAAAAGAAAAGGGAAAAAAAAAATCAGAACAAAAACAATGCTTTTCTGCTTTCAAGCAGAAAAGCCAAAAAAAATAAAATTAGAACAAAAACAAAGGCATAATAAATTAATATCCAAAACATTTGTTTGTCATCATCATTGTCAGGCGCTCCATCTATTCTTTACATAAGTGTTTTCGCTTTACTTAAAAACGGTCCATGTAGGTACCGTCCATTAGTTTTTTATATGTCAATGATTAAACATGATTTTTTTGAATCCTTTTTTCCCAAATAGTACAGTGGAACGCCGCTATGAGGAACATTGCGGGATCCACAAAAATTGTTCGCAATAGCGATCGTTCGGTATAGCGATTTAAGCTGCTGGTGCTCCGGTACGGTACCCCCTTTTCAATAAATAGCGCCCTTCAGAACTTCACCCTGCACACCCTGGTTGCTACTAAAGATGACTTTGAACACGTGCCAAATATTGACATGTAATTACACAGTTTTTGAGCTTACTACCTACAGTGTACAATGGGTGGCTTTCCCCTTCTATTCCTTGGAGAAATAATAGCCACTTATCACCCTTCTTGTCAACAAGACAAGTTTTGGTAAGTTTTGTGGACAAAAAATGGGATCTCGTCTATGGAATTTTTGCACGCTATTGCACTTAAATTTGTCCACTCTATCCGAGTGCCCTAGATAAAATCTTATCTTATAAGTATTCCTGTCAAATATAGAAATGTAAGCCAGGTTACAAACTTGTACTAAGTATTGTAACAAACTTGTACTAAAACTTGTAAGTATAAAACGTACTGTAAAAGTTTATGTAAAAAGCAAAACAAAGTTTTATCACATATTATTTTTAAGTTTCTAATGTTCTGTTATCTGCTGCACTTGCATGCGGTCATGAATCCTAAACATTAGCTAACATGTACATGTATATATGATCATGTAAATCGAAGCAGGTCACCAGACGAATTGTTCGAGGCCAAAAGTCCCAAATTTTAATCGCTAAAAATGTGCTTGAAAAAAAAAATGCCACTCCATAGAAACAATTAGATTGTTCACATGTTGCTTGTGTATTTATTTAAAGCTATAGTCCATCATTTGCAGTCATCCGAAAAGTAACTGGCGTAATTACTGTTGAAAAACAAACTTAGCTGAAAGATAGTAAGGGAAATAAACTCCCTGTGAAATTATTCTTTCTGGGAAGCTGTCATTTTGAAGTAATCAACGAAAGAAGGCATTTCCAACGGTGATTCTTAAGAAGCACCGTAGGAAAATTTAAATTAGTAGTTTGTTTTGTTATTCAGCGCAGCGCGCGCAAGTATTGAAACGACGCGCACGCGTGCGCGGTTGTTATAATTCGTCAGATCAGTGCGCGACGTCGCATAAAGCTGCAATTCAAAACATGATTCAGTAACTTTTGATTTGAAATTGAGATCTTAGAATGCTGTTTTTCTCGGAATGTACAGCTGAAGCTTAGCTGAAACTTTATCAGGTTAGTTGCTTAGTATCCTTTATTAGATTTTGAAATCTTTTGTTGCCTCAAACAAACAAAATGCACAAATTACAAATGATGAACTATAGCTTAAGTTGTTTGACACTTGAATGATTTCTATTGCAATTAGTTCTAGGTCTTCACGTAAATTGACCGGACTAACAGGGTTTCTAATGCTTTTTACTGTAAATTTAAGACATGATATATGAAGTTTCTTTGACTCAGTTTACCTATAGGCAAGAAGAAACAATTTTCCCCTTAGTATAGTAATGAAGGATCACATACCTCCCCTTGCATGACAACTTTGTTGACGATGTAGTGGCCATCTTGTAGTGTGAGAAATGTCTTCTTGTCGAGATGATGGTCTTCAAGCTGGACAGAATAATCCCATATAAAATAAGAACAAAACAAAGGAAAAACTAGAATTGTGTTAGTTGACAAACACATAGCCGTTTCCACTGATTTAATAACAACTGCCATGTAGGGGTTTCATCCAAGTCGGATGTATGTACATGAGTACTATTCTAAAAAAAAATTGGGCTGTGTAAAAGTGAATTTGCTGTTTTAAATTAACAAGATTTAGATGACGCAACATGACTAATAATGACGTCATCACGACGCCAATTGTTTTGGAGCAACATTAGCTGAGGGTCTTGGTCTGTGCCTACTTTGAAGTCAATCTGATCGTATTTTATGTCATATTTGTAATTAGATGAATATATTAAAATTAAAACAAATAATGAAAGACCAGTTGATGATGTCATGACGACGTCATTTCAGATTTTGAATACAAATATCAACACTACATGTACCTACCTACCGGTACCAGGTTTCATAACGATCGGACATACCCCTATGCATTTTAAAAAAATCACGTTTTTAATGACGTCATGATGACGCAACATATTTTCAAAATTGTGTGTATATCTATGACCTAACAAGTGTTACAAAAATAATTTTGAATTTACCAAGCTCTATTGATGAGATATGACTAAAAGGTCCAAAATCTGAATAATTCATATAAAATCACAGGACTTCATCGTGACGTCACTGCAAGTTTTGTCTGTAACACAAAATATGCACTTTTGGGGTGATGTCACCTGACAAGTGATGACGTCACCATGACGTCATTGCTCGGCCTGAATCTTTAGATGGTGGTCTAAGTATGTGCCAGGTTTGAAGTTGATTTGTGCTAGGTTTGAAGTCGCTTGGATGTGAAAAAGTCCCAAAGTCCTATGTAGAATGAAAACATGTGTTATCCTATTGAAAATGGAGTGGAAAAAGGAAAAAAGAAAGAAAAATAACAGCGTTGCTGTTGAAACCCCTCAGCCGGAGTTTGTCGAAAGGGCAAATTGATATTCCAAACTCAAATATCATGTGTAACTTAAGTTATCATGCAGAAACCATTAACTCACCACGGTGACCTTGACCTTTGACCTTTTGACCCCAAAACCAATCCCAACTCGCCTACTCCCAAGGGCAACCCCCTACCAAAGTTAGACACCAAAATCTCATTTCTAACTCAAGTTGTCATCCGGAAACCATTTACCTTCAACTCACCACTGTGACCTTGACCTTTGACCTTTTGACCTCAAACCAATCCCAACTTGCCTACTCCCAAGGGCAACCCCTACCAGAGTTACAATCCCAAACGACATTTCTAACTCAAGTTAATCTTTCGGAAACTGAGCTGCCTGGACAGACGTCCGTACAGCCGGACGTCTGGCTGGAGGGGCCGCCCCGATGGACAGCCACCCTGACGGACGCCGTAGGCGATGACAATACCCCTTGAGCTCTCGGCTGAGGGGTAAAAACTAGACTTATGTTTGTGGACAAAAACAGGGCTGTTTCAATAACTTTTTTGTAAAGTTTTAAGTATAACATGTATAAGTTCCAACCAGAAAGGATGTGTAGTCCTGTTTATAATAAATGGTGGCATATAAACATGTGATTACATTCTCATAGGGTTTTGAATTGTGACGTCACATGTCACATGATGACGTCACATCAATTTTCATCTATAATCATCTATAACAACCTGCCGCTACGACGTCACCGTTATTTTTTTGTAAAAAACAACTTAGCCAGAGCATACATCGTTGAAAGCAAGTTCACATCTGTTACCAATTTTAAATTAACAAGGCACTTCCAGTTTCAACTAGAAGCAAGGGTCACATGATTTTGTACACATCGAAACAGTCAATAATATTGCATCACCTGAATTTCTCAACTGTTTTGGTTTATTTTTTTGGTGTTTTTTTCAAAAGATGGCTAAACCGACCCGACCCAACCTGACCCGAAAATGTAAATGCAAAACCAAAATCGACCCAACCTGACTGAAAAGATGGGCAAACTGACCGGACCTGAAGTCAGTTTCGGGTCAAGTCGGTTTCGGTTTCGGGTCGGTTTGCATATCATTAGTTCGCATATGATGTGAAAGTGTAAGATGTGGAAGGCGGGCCGCAAGGAAGCATGAGCCTTAAGCCAACCATTTTAAACCCACGAAAGTAAACCAGAGGAATAAGCCAGTTCAGTATTTCAACTGGACATGTGCACCATAATATGGGTAACGTGTCATTTGGGATAATCGAAGGCGTATGAATGCACGTGGAAATGGTAGCACGACGCTCATGCGCTTATTACAACCAAATAGGCCTCCGCGTAACAACGTGTTTCATTATGTCAGCGATTTTATCCTAAATGACCTTCAACCTGGACTACTGCATCAAGATACTGAAAGGTCCGGAAGGGCGAGGGTGATATCATATACCATACTAGATATACCTTGGAGACTGTGGACTAGTCACAACATAGTCTTAGCCCAAGACCGGCTTTGGATTATTTTGGTCTATGTGCAGTTAGTATATAACACGCGCTGGCAAGCACAGCCAAATGACATCAACGGAAGAGGGCACTATTGACGAGACGAACCAAATCTGGTCTCGGTTAATCTGGCAGAGCTCCCTGAAAAATTTCGAGCATACCTCAGCATGAATAATATGCAAAACCCTGGTTTAGACTGGTTCCTTGAAAACATGCTTGTTGCCTGTGGCCTCTCGCTGAGTAATGCCGTTGATGCGACAGGCAGCGCCGGGGACAGGTGAGCATTTTCGCTGTGAACGCGGCGACTACGGCAAGCTCACATTATTGACAGTGTTGAATTTGTAATTGAGTGGTGCATCAGCATTAAACCTTCGTGCCAGACCCCGCTGGCACTACTAGTTCCAAACCTTGTCGTGTGAGGGCGTCTATGATCACTGCCTAATATGATGGGACTGGCATGCTTCTGGACACGTTCAATAGAATTACTTTGCTCAGCACTGATTGATGTGTGCCAAACTTGACTAGCATAATCCAGAATTGGTCAGATGTAGCAAATAAAAACTGTAAGCAAGTCATATACAGCAACTTTAGCCTTTCTTAAGTATACATAATGTATAATCTACCGGTATGAGAGGCTCTTGAGACAATGTCAGTAATGTGTAAGTTCCATGTCAGATCCTTTTGTATGGTTATACCTAATAATTGCTGATGAGACACATCATTCAAATTGACCAAGTTAATTGAAAAAGATTACGTGGGTATTTCACATTTCATAAAACTATCATGGATTGACATTTAGAGGGTTTAGGCAAAACATTGATGTTATTGCACCAGACAGAGAGATTATCAAGGTGAGTTTGAAGTTTTAGCTCTTTGTCATATTTAACAATTTCAGCCAAAGTCAGATCGTCCACAAATGTCCATCGTCTGCAGCAATCCTCAGACACATCGTTGACAAGTGCAAGAAAAAGAATTGGACCTCATTTCGTTCCCCGAGGGACACCACAGGATATTGACTGGGTTGTGGAGAGATGATGATTGAGCTTTGCATTTTGTGTGCGACCTGAGAGAAAGCTGCAGACTATGGGAACTATTGATCGTCTGACACCAAGATTAACAAGCTTTTGTATCACAATAGTGTGGTTAACACTGTCGAATGTTTAGGTAAAAGGTAAAATGAAAACGTGCGCCATGTCCCATTGTAAAGAAACCATGGCCAAGGAGGCTGGCATGGTCGTGTCCTCTTGTTCGGCCTCATGAGGCACCAGGGAAGAGGAAACATCTTGGTCCCTGGAAGGAGGTTCAGACGGCAAGTCTGCAGGAGCCCAGAGAGAACTAGGGGCAAACACCAACATGACTGGAGAGTCTGATGGATGGGAAATTGTATGGGGTATGTTAGGGTTTCGGGCCGACCGAGGATAAGAAGAAGGCGAAGAGCTCAGATAAGCCGAGGTAGTCTGCTAAGAGAAGGTTGACAAGGTTTCAGGCAGGTTCTGACTTGTTTGAAGTAAATTCTTGTCCCTATGAGAAGATTTATGTCGCTTGAGGCTGACAGAGCTAGTATCAGTGGATATATCTGATGACTTGCCTTTCTTCTTCTTCTAATGAGAAGAATCAGCCTCAGATTGTACAGGGACCCTAGATTCAACCAGGAACTCTGATGTAAATGGGCCACTCAGAGAAACCAAGGGCTGGGGTAAGCAGAGTTGAATCACTGTCCGAGGAGGTGGAGCCCTGGCACCCAGATCACCAGGTATCGGCACTGTGGATATGGCGGAATAGGCCGGTGGAGTAGCAGAGCTGTCAGCCTCCTCACGGGCAGAACCAGGGTGATTCTTTGAGGTGTTCTTTTTTCGGGGCCCTGTGGCTGCCATGACTTCAGAACGGGGTAGAACACCCGTAAAATATTGGTAAAACTGATTGGCAGCCGGAACAAAGCGGGTCATCTGGAACAATAGTGTGGCGGCAGGTACAATATTGGAGCGGCCAATAAACAAGTCCAGAAAAAAAGCGATAGGCCTATCTAATGAAGGATGTATCACTCTAGTGTTGCTTTATGTATTAACAGAGCAGAATACAATGTAATATGCCTGAAGCGTCACACCATGTAACTGTGAGATATATCAAAATTGCCCGTTTAATAACGGCATTTGTTTTGAAGGCGAAAGCACCGACTATTCCGTGCGGTGCAGTGCAGCATGACAGATTTGCTAATAGTGAAATACCATGCTGACAGGTCGTTAAGTTGTAGCATAGGTAAGGGGTGAGCGGCTTGCAACTCGTGCAGTGCTTCACCTCCAGAGGGTCTGCCACAGGGTCTGCTAAAAAAAAACACCGGAACTGGGTCTGCTTGAAAAACCGGAACAACTGCTTGAAAAAAATGGAACTTTATTTTTTGGAGAAAAAGACACTCCGACACAAAGTCCCCGTTGTCATCTTTCTCTTGTAACCAAGCCCAGCTCCATTTATTTTTGCTTCAATGGCCTTTAAGCTGTCGATTCGTTCAATCACTTTGACTTTTTTCCATATTCCTGTTATTTATTCTGCCT